AGGAAGGAAGGATTTCTTCCCATAAAACTTGAAGATAGATATCTTTGCATGTGTCTGGGGAGTATCTGCCCAGGGTTTCAGTGATCTGCAAGAAATCTGGTGACATCATGAAACCATCCACTGTAGGTGGCTTCTTATCCACAGCAATATTTAGGAGTATCCTGAGAGCCAGAGTTGTGCTTTTCAGTCTTCGTGAACAATTACCCTCTTTTTGCAAAGTCCTTCTAGAAGCTTGTACGCATACAGTTGATCTCCATGATGAAGAAGAAAGAAGGAAAAAGAATAGATAAACAAATGTCAAAATTTGAGTTTAGTTTCAACCTTTAATAGTTACATAAAGATTTTGAACAAAGTGGACAATAATTTACTGTAAGTAATAAAACACTATCAGTGTTGCCAAGGAACAAGTAGGAACCAAAGATTCAGGGCCATCTATATGTACTAATTTGGATATGACAAGCTTGGAACCTATTTATAACTTTCACAGTACTTTATGGCTCTTTCTTTCCAACAAAGCACACATCATATTATACAAGGCCTGAGAATATGAGTATCTTCTGCCAAAGGCAGTTGGGAGAGCAAAAGGATTCTTCAAGCATTGTTTTTCAAACCTGAATTTTTTAAAATACGTTTTTATCGTAAAAATACTGTACAGAGGGGTTACAGTTACATGAGCAAGGTAATGAGTACATTTCCTATCAAATATTGTTACCTCCTCCTTTGTTTTTCCCCTACCGTTTCTTCCCTCCCACTTCCACAACTACACTCCCCCCCACGGCACCCCCCCCCCTGCCCTACATTGTAAAGTTCATTTTTCAACATAGTGTCTTGTGCATCTCATTGTTACAATGAGTCAACCTGTATCCCTATTTAAGCATTTTGTTTTTTCCCTTCCCCTCCCCAAGCTAGAGAAGTGTATATATAAGATGCAGGGCACCAACATCAAATACAGTGAAAACAGGGGTTATACCATGGGGGAGGAACACACAAAGAAAAAAAATCACATGGTACATTATAGATACGTTAGGAACAATATAAAGAAAGAAAAAACCCACTTCATTTCACTTAACATCATCTTATCTGGTCATATGCACATAGCTTTTGACCTTTTCTGCTTGTCCCAGACATATCCTAGTTATAGCAAATAAGGGAAACCATAGGACTTATGTTTCTTTGGGCTTGGATTACTTCACTTAATATTTTAATGGGTAATTGTACAGAAAGAATTGGTACTTAATAATCTTGAAACCTTGAATTTGGAAAGATTTTATGGCCCTATGGCTCACGTTCATAAACTGGTCAAGAATGAATCTGACCCTTATAAGTTGGTAAGATATGCAACTGAACCTACACTGGGCACCAATTATCCCCAATATTATGCCTGCTTAAGTGAGTGGAGACACTCCATGAAAGTTCGCAGAGCTGAACCAAGTATGAATTATGGCTTCTATTTGAACAGGTTTAGAAAACAGATTTGCCTTCCCTCTTAACCTTTGTTCTCAGAGACTCACATAATAATACCAGAGTGGTAATGCTTTAATTATCTGTGGAATTCACAATTAGGGAATACCCCTGTATAATCTTATATGAAGGAAAACAAAGTTTCAAAGCTATTTGCACACCAGCCCATGGGCTTATGGGACTGGAGGAACAGCCAGTGTGTTATTTTCTCTGAGGCCATTCCTGGGAAGCATTTTATTTGTAGAAGTTGAGGTCTGCCATACAGCTCCCCCAATCTGGGATCACAATTTCCCTGAAGATCAGATTGGATCCCTAGTGCTCATCTGAGCTGCTGGGTATACTCCCAGACACCCTCCCTCCCTGACATTATCATGGTCCCCTCCTGTGTGGGCTCCTCTGTATAGGGAGAAAAAAAGACCAGACAGCTTCAATCAGCCTTCTTTGGGGCTTCTTGGTAGGAATCTTCTCCTCAAAAAGCATTTTACCCCAGCCACATCTAGGTACTATAATTCTTAAATGACACTTCAAGATGAATGTTAAATATTTTAAAAATATATCTCCTAAGTGGAACACCCATGACTCAGGCCTATAATTTTAGCTTCTTAGGAGGCTGAGATCTGAGGATTATGATTTGAAGCCAGCCTGGGCAGGAAAGTCCATGAGACTCCAATTAACCAGCAAAAAATCAGAAGCAGTGGTGTGGTTCCAGTTGTAGATGGTGGTCTTGAGCAGGGAGGGGGGGGGGGAAGCCAAGCAAGAGCATAAGGCCCTGATTTCAAACCCCAGTGGAAGAGGGAAGGAAGGAAGGAAGGAAGGAAAGAAGGAAGGGAGGGAGGGAGGGAGGGAGGAAGGGAGGGAGGGAGGGAAAGAGAGAAAGAAGAAAGAGAAAGAAAGGAAGAAAGGAATTAAGAAAGAGAAAGAAAGAGAGAAAGGAAGGAAGGAAGGAAGGGAGGGAGGAAGGGAGGAAGGGAGGGAGGGAGGGAGGGAGGGAGGGAGGGAGGGAGGGAGGGAGAGGGAGGGAACATATCCTGTGTTTCATGACTTGTTTGGTTTTCCAATTTTTAAAAATCGTCTTCCATCATCCAAGCGTACAGAGTCCCTTTTGAGTCTGTATTTTACTTAAGCAAGGAGAAGAAAGCGTTGTTTACATTTTTGTATTTTGGCTGTGAACTCTGTAAAATGCTTAATTTTTTTCTGGTCTGAGCTGAAGAAAATTTTTTATCTTTAGATTCATTTCCTATTTCTCTATATCTTCCACTGGGGAGAGGACTCAAACAATCCAATAACCTCAAAAAGTCAAGCTCATGTTGAAGTCAAGAAGATGAGTTTAGCATTTTGCACAAGAGTATTTACATTACCATTAGTTTTTGCAAAGGCAAAATTTCTCATTCTCTTAAATTGACTGCAAAAAGTGCCTTAAGAGAGAGAAACACAGTCCTCCAGTATGCACATCCCTAACAGGTTAACACACTGACCTGCTTTATAGGGAATTAATGGAGTGGCTCTGAGCAATTAATGGGGAGAGTTCAGGAACACTCCTAGTGGAAATAAAATTGTTCACTGACAGCACTAGGTGGGATGTTCTACTCACAATAACTTGCTCAAACCTCAAATGTGACTGGTTTTAAAGCTGAATTAAATATATTCTTAGTCAAAAAGAAGTGGCAACAAGCTGTTTTAAATTAATAAATATTTATGTGTTCCATGCCAGTGGCTCACACCTATAATCAGTAGGCTGAGCTCTGAGGATCATGGTTTGAAGCCAGCCCAGGTGGAAAAGTCCGGGAGACAATATCTCCAATTAATCACCCAAACGCCAGAAGTGGAAGTGTGGCTCAGGTAGTAGAGCTCCTACCTTGAGTGAAAAAGCTAAGGGAGAAAATCTTGGCCCTGAGTTCAAACCCCAGTACCAGTACAAGGGATTTCAGGACTGCTGGTAGAAAAAATCAGTGGTTATATAATAAGTGGATTTTTTTAAAATTATACCTTTCCCAATTATGTCTAGATAAAATAGAAGTCAAGTCACTGAACATTTTTGTAATTCAAATAGAAGGAAATAGATTCTTGAGGGGAAAAAGAAACCTTATGATGAGACATCTGTACCCATCTTGCTGAATAAGTTAGGAGGAAATCCAAATTTGGTGATGGTGGGGGCTCAAGGACTAATTTATGGTTCTTTAACATAGAAAGCAGTGCCCGATGGACATAAGTATCCACGTGTGGCTAGACTGAACAGTGGAAGCTAGTATCTCTCCCAAGCACAGTTCTGAACCCCCTCCCCCCAGTTCTAAATCTCTTTATCTTATTATTATATTTTTCTTTTCCTTATCAGTTCCTCACCACCACCAGCTCCTCGGGGGGTCCAAAGAAAGTTGGGGTACTCCTCCCTCTCCAGGCTCCAGAATATCCAGCTCAGGTGCCTTGAAGAGTTCCTTGGCTCCAGGTGTCAGGGGGGGGAACGGGCCTTCCCGCCAACCTCCTCGAGCCTTGGGGACCCCCCCCCCACGACCACTGGCCTAGTCACAGAGGCCTAGAGCAGAAGGCTTGCATTGTCGGCTTTGGGAAGCCACTCGCCCCCCCTCCCCCGCCTACCCACCCCCTCCCCTCCCACCACTGCCGGGGCGCATTCTCCGCGCTCGAGCAGGGTCGCTGCCGGAGCTGTGCGGGTCCCCAGAACACGGACGGGTAAAGAGTAGGCGACGACGACTCCGAGAGCAAGGCCGCCTGCAGCCGTTCCCAGCCCAACCCCAGCCGGCGGCCCCAGCGCCTCGCCGAGCCGCGCCGCGCCGCGCGGGGAGAGAAGCAGCTGTTCCCAACAGCTGGGGGGCGGCGGCGCCGGGCGCCCCAGGTGCTGTCCCGGCCAATCGCAGGCGTCCGGCCCGCCCCCTCCCCAGCCGGGCGTCGACCCCCGGGCCCGCGGGGGAAGGGAACAGAGAGGTGGAGAGCCGTCCTCCGCACTGGTCCTCCAGCTCCGGCGGCGGGAGGGACGGAGCCGAGCCCCAGCCGCGCCGCGAGTCCCCGCACCCGGGCCCACCGCGCGCCGCGCGCCCGGCGTCCACCTCCGCGCTCGGACCCTACCCACGGCCCGCTGAGAGAGAGAGAGATCTACCTCTGCTCGTACACTCCTCGCTTGAAGACTTGGCGATCTGCGTTTGTATTTATTATTATTATTGTTATTAATTATTATTGGTTACCTCCCCCACCGGGTGAGTGGAAACCGCTGGGCACATTGGCTAGAACCTGATCCGTAACCCAGACGGACGATCCGGAGAATCTGTGCCGTGACCGGCAGGGGGTGCGGGAGGAGAGGAACGAGTCCAGACTCCGGGGCTGCGGGCGACTTCGGCAGCCGCGCGCCCCGCGCCCCCGGCCGCCCCCGGCCGCTCGCCCCCGCCGCGCCGCCGCCCTCGCCCCCGCGCTCGCCCTTGGCCCCCGGCGGCCGCCAAAGGGTGCGGGAGACGCGGAGCCGGAGGAGGAGGCGCAGCCGCTGCCCGAGCCGCAGCCGCAGCCGGAGCCCGAGCCGCGGGGCGGGCGCGAAGATGCACACGACCCAGAAGGACACGACGTACACCAAGATCTTCGTCGGGGGGCTGCCCTACCACACCACCGACGCCAGCCTGCGCAAGTACTTCGAGGTCTTCGGCGAGATCGAGGAAGCGGTGGTCATCACCGACCGGCAGACCGGCAAGTCGCGGGGCTATGGATTTGTAAGTTGCATGGATGGTGGGGAGGGGGGTTGGGAGGGGGGCTACAGGGAGCTGGCGGGGAAACTGAGGACCGCGGGGGCTGGGAGGGAGGAAGGGATAGGGGACGCCTGCCCCCACCCCCTCTCCAGATCCCCTCACTGAGGACTAAACGCGGGGTCCGGGGTTTGGCTGGAACCTTGTGACGCGCCCCGGCGGCGTGATCAGCGTCTCCCCCTTTTGCTCTGAGCTGAACTGAAACTTTGCGCTCGGTGGAGCTGGGGAAGGAGGGCCGGTATCTACCCATCTCCGGGGGGGGGGGGCCTAAAGGGACCCCCCCCACGCCATGCTGGGTGGCAGGCCTGTCCGGGCAGGGGTAGAGAGACTCGCAATAACAGCTGGATTTGGGGGAGGGGGTGCAGAGGGCTGGGAGGGAGGGGCCGTGGCCCAGCATGATGGCATTCTGGGGTTGGAGGCAGGTTGTCCGGCACACTGTTGCTTTGTTAAAAAAAAAAAAAAATGCGTGTGTCTTCTGGTGTTCCGGGTAGGGTGAGGGAGAGGACAGACACCCTGTGAGGTCTGGGGTTCTCCGTGTGACACCCTCACCTTTTAAAATCGTACCAAGCAGGCTCTTCCAAATGAGAATGATCTGGCTCTTTGGAGAAGGGAAAGGGCACACGAAGCTTCCCCGCGGATTTCGGGGTGCAAATTCAGCCATGGGGGGGGGGGGAAGCGGAGAGCTCCCAGAGTACAATAGCTATTGTCATCGTTGGGGAGTGTTTTGGGGCTGGTTGGGAAGAGTATAGGGCAGATGCGAGACTGGACTTTCTCTCAAGCAAACAGTGCCTCTCATGCCCGGTAGGGACCTAGGGGAGCCATTGGGGGTCTGGAGGGAGCCATGTACAGGAGTTTGAAGAATCCAGGCTTCTGAAACTCTAGTAGGCCCAACTAGCTCCCCTTAGGACTTCGGATGGAGGTGGAGAGTTCCCTTATGCCTTCTTCCTTGCTTCAGCTTACTTGTTTTTAATGGAGGATCAAAACACAAGACCCATCCACTCCTTCCCACCCATCCCCTCCCCCAAGTAAAAGAAAGAGTAAGTTTATCATGACTTCCTCCAGTGTGACTCTTGGTCTCCTTCAGGGGTTAATGTAGAGCTTTGTATGTATGTCTGTGTGTGTACGTTGCTAAGGTCACCATGGCTGACCGAGCTGCTGCTGAAAGGGCTTGCAAGGATCCCAACCCTATCATTGATGGCAGAAAGGCCAATGTGAATCTGGCATACTTGGGAGCAAAACCAAGGATCATGCAACCAGGTAAGAAAGGTCTTTCTCCCCTCCCCCAACACCCATCAACAAAACCCTCTACTCCTGGATAGAATGATTCCCTTATCTAGAAATTGGCTCCCTGTGAATCTGCAGGTTTGCTTGGTAAAACTTGAGCAATGACTGGTTATTGTACCAATGCATGAAAGTGAAATGAGACTTGTAAATACTCCTTTCAGGACTTGAAATATATCTGTGTGGAAAAAAAAGAAAGAAAGAAAAGAAAAAGAAAAAAAAAGGTCTTGGAGTCTGGATATGTCTGGCACAGAGAAGAATCAGGCTTGACTCATGGGTTGTCTATATGATGATAGGCTTGTGGCATCTACTCTGGACTTCCCCATTGTTAGTTGGCCACTTGTAGCCAGCCATGTGAATGATGTAGATGATATGAGCCAAAGTGGTCAGCTCCAGCTCATGTGCATCCTTGCTTAGTGTGATCTCTCTTTGGGTCACCAGCTGCCCTATGTCCAAAATCTGACAGAAACACTGACCTGAGAGAAACACCAGACAGAGGGAAATCTCTGGATCTCTGGATGGTACAGCTTTCTCATGAAATCATAGGATACTAGCAAGGAAAGTAGAAGGAGTTCACTACCCAAGTTGTAGGTGTAAAAAATAATGACGATGGTGATGATGATGATGATGATGCTTACTGGAGGATGAGAAATACTTTGGGTAGCTATTCATTGTCAAAGCCGAGCCCCATTTGGTCTGTGTTGATTTATTTACCCTATTGCCCTTTGCATGGGCACAAATAATTGAGAGTTGACTAGGGAGCCATTTCCTAGAGCAAGCAACTGTACGTATCCCATTAAATCAGGCACTGTTCACTCATGAGGTGTTCAGTTCTGAAATTTTAGCACTTCCATCCAAATGGATTTAATGGGAAACTAGATTGTCAAGAAAGCAAGGCATGAGCAGGTTGTTCAGCAGTTCGTATCTGTGCAAAACATGGAAGCTTGTTTTTCATGTTTGTAATACTATAACTTGTGGAACCCTAATCTTTCAGAGCATTTCAAAATGTTCCAAATTACAAAGACTTTTCTAAAAGATCAGGATCAGTTCTGTAAGGAAGCATGTGACATGAAACTTTCATTGTCAGTTCCAATTGTGCTTGATTTCATTTGAAGAACATTTTTTCCTCTGGGTGAGTTTTTCTAAGGGGTGATTTTGTGTCTCAGCCAAAATTTTTGTTTTTCACTTTTTAGACTGTTGAAACCTTTATATAGAATTTGTGATAACCTCTAAAAAATAAGTTTAAAATCCACATCTAAACTCTAAAATATTAAAACGTGATGGTTTTAAAAAGAAAAAAAAAGTCAGATTGCATTTTATGCATATGAATAGAAAAGACCTAAACCTGCACAATAGAATCAATGAAAACCTTTACAAGAGTTTTAAATCCATTTAGACACTGTAAAGTATCACAAACATGTGGGAGTTTTTCCCACGGAAATAGAGATGGCACTTTATACATAGGAATAGGAGAAGCCTCACCATGCAGAAATGAAGAATGTGATATTTTGTTGTTGTTGTTATTGTTGTTGGTAGGTTTTGCCTTTGGTGTTCAACAACTTCATCCAGCCCTTATACAAAGACCTTTCGGGTAAGTTGACTCATCAGACCCTGTGAAGTTGCAATATGGCTACTGTTTGTTAACCCTTCTCTTTGTTATAAGGAGCCAAGATCAACATATCATAGAATGCTCCTGGTTATACATAATTATTTATGTTTGTGTATTTTTTAATGCTGATACTATAAATATTTTTAGATGAGTCAAGTTATCTGACCAAGTATGCAGCCTCCAAACCAGACATATGTTGAGCTTATGATTAACAAAAACAAAACAAAAAAATACCAGGTATGACTTGTGTATCAGACCGTGTGTCCCATCACCGTTACTACTGCTCAACTTGACTCAATGTTATTTATCTCTTTCTAACCTGACAGGGCTCGTATACAGTTAAGCTAACTGATGAGAAGGATACGATGATAAGAGGTGGAATAGTTCTGTTTGGAATTAAACTCTGTAACCAGTAGACTCAGACACACAAGCTCAGATGGTGATTAACGATGCATGGATGTGGGTGTTGTTTTTATTTTTTTTCACAATAGTCAATAGCCCTCCGTGTGCTTTATTTTATTTATTACAGTAATGAAGTGGTGTTGATAGCTAAACTGTGTGCTTTTTCACTTAATTGAAAAGAGCTGTAGTGGAAGTGTTTTCTTTTCCTCGGGGAAGGGGCTCTTTGCGTTTGGTTTTGGTGGTGGTGTTGAGGAGTGTTGACTTTTGACTTTGCCATGGGAAGCAAAGGGCCTTTTTGTTTTGTTTTGTTTTGTTTCCTGCTTATAAGCTATAGCCTGTGACTTCCATTTAACCATATCTTTGTAGTGAGTGCTGAATTGTGTGATTTCTCTCTGTAAGAATACAGATTTTGTTGCTTGCATGTCCTAAGTTTCTGTTTCACGAGAAGGTTTCTGGGAATGGGCTTCTTTCTTTTGCAATATCTAGCCACCCTGAAGTGTTCTCATTTAAAGGTTCAACAGTTCTCATCAGATTTCATTAACGCTAGCCAGTTCGGATTGCTTTTTCCTAATTTTTTTCTTGTGGTTTTGTTTTGAGTAGCATAGCACTAATTTCTACTTTCCAGACCTAACAGGGGAAAAGTCTACTCAGATTTGTGTCATCTCTGGATCCTGTCATTACCAGCTTGCCCTTTCTGAGGCTCCCAATTGCCCTTCCCTTTAGACCTGATATGGGTGGGAGGTCACTGCTTACATTTCTCCTAGCTACTACAGTCTGCTTTGGCTGTCATCTTCCTGATTTATGTTCTTGTAACTCTATTGCCAGAGAGTTAAGTTTTTTCATGTTTTAGTTGGCCAGAGACTTTTTACCATCAGCACTAATTTCCTCAATAGCTTAGGATCTAAATATCTACATATTTAATTTGGAAGGCTGGAATCTACATAGAGAGATGTCTACTTTTTTGTCTTTCAGAGCAGGCCACATAGTAGTACTACTAGTAGTTAGTAGTCATAGTAATTTGACTTGAGTCGTTATATTTTCCATGAAAACTTCAATATTTCTTGTTTCTTTAACCCATCTTATAGCTCAACTCTTGTTACTAACTCTGTCTTTTTTTTTATTCAGAAAGGTCTTCTGTCACATATACAAAGCTATGTAACAAAGATCTTACAAACAAACAAACAAACCTATGTCTAACAAGATATGGGTCTGTGAGTCTGTCTCTGGGTACTTCCCTGGTCTAGTTTATCTGAAGAAGGAGGAATTGAGAGAGAAAACATACTTTTGAAGAACTCATAGGCTTACCCTTGAAATTTCTATAAAAACCAAATCACTCAACAGGTGTGTGTGTATGCGTGTGTGTGTTTATTTTATCACTGTATAAATGAAGGGAAATATGCATTCATTTTAGGAAAAGCAAGAAGAATGCAAACCAGCCAAGAATTACTCCTTGCTAAATAACTTGCTATTATCTTAGGTACAAAAGAAGTTCAGAATAGCAGAGGAATGGATGGATTAGAAGAGTTGAACTAGACTTTTGGCAGGGGGTGGAAGAGTGGATACATCTCAGTCAGGTTCAGAGAAGATTGGGGATGACTGAAGGGTTCAGAGCGGGGTGAACTTAAACAAAGGCACAGAGGAGAAAAGCCTTGGTACATGGAGAAACCAGAGTGCTCTTGAGAGCTAAGTATAGCCATGTGGCTGTTTGTGATTGTTCTTACTGGTCCTTGAGAAGAAAGCAACATGAAAAAAGTTAGAACCAACAAGATAACATTGAGTAAATCAAGCATGTTTTGCTATAACCTTTGGTTTTTTTAAATCTCTTCGAATATTAATTGTCTTTATAAAGAATGGTGATTATTACTGGTGATTATTAATTGTTTAAGGTTGAGATTCTTATGAGAAATAGCATTCCCGCTACACCAAGTAAGCTTTCTCTCTCTCTTTTAAAAACAGCTCTCAACACTGATCTAATTCTAAGTCTCTATCAACAGATAACCCTTGGTCATCCTAATTCTATTTGAATGACACATGTTCTTATTTTAGATGGGGGAAAAGCTTTAGGATTTTTATTTTACTTGGCTTGTTGGAAATTCTAATGACTAATCCATTATTTTTATGTGATCCTTACATGGGTCCCAATTACTCTAGGTTTTTAAAGACAAAATACAGGCTGGACAGTTAGTGATTTAACACAGTAGATAGATGTAGAGGAATCTACTATTCTAATTAGTTTATTTGAAAGGAGCATTTCTTATTGAAACTTTGGAGAGTTAGCTGATCTCTGAGTGGGAATTTCTAGGCCGCTTTAAATCAGATGAACTATCATTTACTTATACACATTTCAGTTCTCGGTTTCATGCTGGAGTAACCTTGTGCTAAGTATTTATTCTGTCCACAGGGTGGGGGTGGGGGGCAGAATGAACTATTAACATTTATAGATACGCAAGGTACTAATAAGAGACTTACGCATTATATAATTTGAGTCTCATAGTAGGCATTTAACAAAGGCACTGCTAATATTCTTTGAGTTAGCTGAAAAACTAAGATGCAGGGAGATTCATTAACTTCCTCCCCTCTCCTCCCCCATCAAGGAACTGGTAAGTGTTAGAATCTGATTCTGGATTCAGAGTCATGCTCTACCTGAGCTTAGAAGCTGTGCTCTTCCTAACTGCCAAGCCATACTCCTAAAAGACATTACTCTCCCTTATAATCTAGTTTTTGGTGTTTTTTTTTTTTTTTTTTAAGAAGGTAAATGCTGGGAAAGGGGTTGTCCACATGGCCTCAGACAAGCAAACTCCTGTCAGTGGCGTCCAGGAAGTCTTCATGAAAGGAGAAATTGGCTTAGATTTTTTGTTGTTGTTGCTGTTGCTCTGGGCCTGAGGCTTGAACCTCAGGGCCTCAGTGCTGTCCCTGAGCTTTTGTGCTCAAAGCTAGTGCTCTCCCACTTGAACCATAGCTCTATTTCCAGGGTTTTAGTGGTTAATTGGAGATAAGAGTCTCATGGACTTTCTTGCCCAGGCTGGCTTAGAACTGCTAGCTTCAGATCTCAGCCTTCTAAGTAGCTAGGATTAGGGGCATGAGCCACCACCAGCTGGCCTGGCCTGCATTTTAAAAGAGGGTAATGAGAAGGAACTATTTTATTGAGCTGCTGCTATCGTCATCATTGTGGGCTCTTCTCATATACAAATTTGTTGAATGCATGGCAACTCAGAGCTAGGGTGGATGGGATTTGGATTTCAACAGGTGGAGATGGAGTGAGGACTGGCCTCCCATGTGAGAGATGAATAGATGGCATGAGCAAAGGTAAGGATCTGGGGAAATGTGGAAGATCCAGGAAACATTAAGGATCTGGGAAACCTGGGTGTAAGAAAAGGCAGAAAGAAAATACTGGAAAGGTCTATTAGAGCCAGATGCATGAAAAGCCTAGCATGTTAAGGTTTAAGAAGAACAGCCGGGCGCCAGTAGCTCATACCTGTAATCCTAGCTACTCAGGAGGCTGAGATCTGAGGATCTCGGTTCAAAGCCAGCTGGGGCATGAAAGTCTGTGAAACTCTTATCTCCAGTAAACTACCAGAAAACCGGAAGTGGCAGTATGGCTCAAGTGGTAGAGCACTAGCCTTGAGCTGAAGAGCTGAGGGATAGCGCCCAGGCCCAGAGTTCAAGCCCCACAACTGACAAAAAAAAAAAAAAGAAAGTTTAAAGACTTGGGTCATCCAGTGTGTGCTGCAGGTTGGAAGAGGAAGCCAATTAGCGTGTTGACACAAAAGCCAACAGAATAACTGATCCTAGTAACACACACCTGTAACTCTAGTACTTGGGAGGCTGGAGCAAAAGGTTTATGTGTTCAAGGCCAGCCTGGTCTACAAGAGAGATATCATAGATGCCAGAAAAGAAGGAAAAAAAGGGAAAATGTAGTCTATTTTCTTTAAAATTTACCCAAAGTATATGCTTGGCTATTGAGCTTTTCTAACTGTGAGGTGTATGCTTCCTTCCTGTGGTGCATGGAAGGAACAGACATTGGTAGAAATCTAGGCAAGGGAAGGTTCTCTAAATCCACTTTCTGAGTTTTGTAGATATTATTCGAACTGGAACTCAGGAATTGTTTCATAAATACCATGTTACTGGTTAGTCAGATTCTGCCTTCCTTCTGGAACTGGGCTTGCTTCTTTGGGCTTGCCAATCTCCCTAGCCTTAAAGCACCCTAGGATTTCATTTGCTTGACAGATGTCTTACTCACCCTTGTCCGACTTCATGTAGGATTCTGAACTTCCAGAAAAAAAATGTATGTTCGTATGGGATGGCTTTATCATGCCAGAGTTATTCCTTATTGTAAAGTAAATGCAGAGATAAGAATTATTTAGGCAACGCTTGCAATATTTATTGTATTCTGTTCACACACACATATGCAGGCACACATGCACTCATGGCACACATTTGATCTTTTTTCTTAGAATAAACTTACGTTCAGCTCACTCTTGTATTCAGAGACGCAAGCCTAGCCATCACAGTGTTGTCTTCAGAACTCTGGGAGTATAAGAGGTTAATGTTTTAGTATCAGTGAGGTTCATGCTGGCTGGCCTTTGCAGCTGATAGATGTTTTACTTTGGCCTTATAAAGACATTTTACCCGCTGGAAACCCTTGTCGCATGACAGGATCAAAAATAGCCCAGCCACAGCCTCTGCTGTCCATCACCTCCTGTAAACTGGCATGAGAGGAGTCTGTCTTAGCTGTGTCTGCACATTGTGGGTAGGGAGGCTCCAGGGACACTGTTTCATAAAGCCACACCTGTCACTGAGGGTGAGCTGGTCACCTGATCTACAGCAATGTTCTGAGTATGTGCATGAGCAGGCGCCTGGTTTCTGACAAGCCGTTAAGAACATCTCGAGTGTCCTCAGAAACACTTGGTGAAGTTGTTTCTGCTGGCACTGGGAAAGATCTATAATTCTAGTATAACTGGGATGTATTTTTATCACTGGGGTCAAAGTTCACTACCCTCTCTGATAAATTTATCTTTTCCATGATGTTCATTAATGTGTGCTTTCAGTTAAATTCTGAAAAGGCAAAGCAAAATCTGTGGGTTAGTGGGTTTGGGGGTTTGGGTTTTTTTTGGAGGGGAGAGAATATCTAAATGTGTTGTCTTATTTGGGGTTCTTTAAATACGAAAGTTGTTATATGTGCTTGTATTTTTTGGAATCTGGATTTGTGGACAACCTAAGAGCATTTCAAGGTCATCATTTTAGAGAGACAGAGGGTTCTGATGGCAGTTGTGTGTGTGCGTGTGTGTGTGTGTGTGTGTGTGTACTGGTTCTGGAGCTTGAATTCAGAACCTGAGTGCTATCCCTTCACTTTTTTTTTTTTTTTTAGCTCAAAGCTGATGCTCTACCACTTGAACTACATATCCACTGCTAGCTTTTTGGTGATTAACTAGAGATAAGAGTCTCATGGATGTTTTTGCTCAGGTTGGCTTCAAACTGTGATCCTCAGATCTCAGTCTTCCTGAGTAGCAAGGATTATAGCTAGGATTCCAGACATGAGCCACTGGTGCCCAGATTAAAAAAAAAAAATCAGATATTTGACAGTGTTTTACCAGTGTGCATTAACAAATTACAAGAGCATTGACATGCATAGGATGTTTTTACACAGCTCTCATGTTTTTTTAAAAAAATCAAATTAACTTTTAAGTAAGATCCTTAGAGTCTGTCTTGTCTGTGATCTGTGAATGTATGATTTTTTTTAAATATTTTGATTTTGTTTCACTTTTTATAACCTTTTTTTCAGGATAATCTATAATTGTATAATTGACCTGTACAAAATATTCACCAATAGGGTGGATTTAAAACCAATATGGTACATTAAATCTGTTTCTATTGATTTGGAGGAGAAACAAGAGTTAGTTGATAAGCAGAATAAATGTGTCTCTATAATGTACACCTTTTAAGTTTCTGTTAAGTTTGGAAATATTTAGTTGTATTTCCCTGTTCCTTCCTTTTCCACCAACCTTCCGATCCACCTTCTGTCTGTCTTGTGTAGAGATAAACAAGCTGGCTGACCCTCAGTTGCCTCAGGTGTCCAACAGGTTTGATTGACCGTTGTGTCCTTATGGATTTTTCTGGAAAGATAAAAGAAAAAAAGAAAGTGTGTGCACAATCTCTTTGGGACTCACTGCCATGAATGTGAATAGCAGACCTATAGCTTCCCACAAGAGCCTCTGTGACAGAGAGCCAGCTGCACCACAGTTCGTTTGAGGAGTGTTGACTGTGCTGTGTTTACCACACTTGTGAACTCTTAAACTTTTTTCTTTATTTTGTCGCCTGCTTCCTTTTTTTTTAATTGTTATTTTTTAATAAGGGTGACTGAGGTTGCAGAGAGATTAATGTGTGCTGAGTCTGCCTAGCAATTCTAAGTAGGGTTGCCATGATAATAAACCTGCAGACTTGGGTGGAAATTGATTTCAGTTTTCACAAACAGACCATCGCTCCCAAAGAACAGAATGCTCAAAGATTCAATTCCAAGTCCTGTTGTTCAGGGAGATGGATTTTTCCCCCCCATTTGCTTTGTCTTCCAGGAACTCTTAACCAGAGTTTCTAAAGTCTTAATCAAACCATGTTAAACTTCTTACTTGCCTAGCCCTTATGAACTTTGATTTATTTCCCAAACTTCTTTGTGAATGAGACTTCATGGTTCTAAATACTCCCCAGTGAAAATTCTAACAGGGAGGCCTTCTTGTTATTTTGGTTACTGAATTCTTCTGGGGGGTGTTCCATAAACTGTGGCTACTGCCAGAGGACTTTGAATGAACCACTAGCAAGTAGATATTGTGGCAACCCTATGCTCATAATAACCACTAAATTTTGAGTTTGTCTCATCTCTGAACAACAAACACTACTTCCCCCCTAAGGAAGGGACTGTGGCCTGACTTGGTTTCCCTTTTCTCTACAGGATACCTGCCCACTATGTCTACCCACAGGCTTTCGTGCAGCCTGGAGTGGTGATTCCACACGTTCAGCCAGCCGCAGCTGCGGCCTCCACCACACCCTACATCGATTACACGGGAGCCGCGTATGCTCAGTACTCAGCTGCAGCTGCTGCTGCTGCTGCAGCCGCTGCCTATGACCAGTACCCCTATGCAGCCTCCCCTGCTGCTGCTGGATATGTCACCGCTGGAGGCTATGGCTATGCTGTTCAGCAGCCCATCACCGCCGCTGCCCCTGGGACGGCAGCTGCCGCAGCTGCTGCGGCTGCTGCCGCAGCTGCATTTGGCCAGTATCAACCTCAGCAGCTGCAAACAGACCGGATGCAATAGACCCAGCCATCTGATCCAAGTTGAATCGTTTCCTCTTTTCCCTTCCAATTTCCCAAGTTTTAGTAGTTCATGAGAGAGTTAACATTGACTTATTAACAGCTTTAAAAAAAAAAAAAAAGCAATGCTATTGTTGAAACAGAATTCTTCTCCTTATTTTTTTCTTTTTTAATACTCCTGGTAGTGACCTAGATGAGGCCACAGGTGAGAAGCTGAGATTTGGGCAGGCGCAGTTTTGGAAATCAATCCCCAAGAGCCTGGGTAACCAGCCGATGAGAAGGTGATATGGAGCATGGTTGACACTTCACTTTTGTAACCGGATTTTTATTTGGGTCTTTTTTATAGTATCAGGGAAGCAAACTGCCTTTTCCAAGTTAGAAAATGCTATTTGAATCTAGTTGAACCAGGGACTACAGAGTGAGCAATATGTAGCTTGAATTATGTTTAAAAGTTGTGTTTTTTTTTTCCATTTGTGTTATTTTAGAAAAACAAAGAGGCTAAAGTGCTGATCATTATTTTTACCAGTCACTACGGCCTACTTTTTCAAGGAAGAAGGTAGTGTTTATACTATCTCAACTATGGGCACCGAACAATCAAGCTAGGAGCGTGGCGGTGGGTACAATGGCGGACAGGCACCAAAGCTATTTTCTCATCTGTCCCCTGGATGATTGGGACTGGGGAACAAGTGGTGTGGAATTCACGGTGCAGCAGCTGGGCAGACAATCAGTAACACACCCAGTTCTGGAAAGAACACATCACTTGTGCTTGTTTGATGAGCTTGTCACATTCTAATCCCTCTCCCCATCCTGTTTCAATTTTGGGAAACTTGTATCTGCTGGTGTCAGCAATTCTGATCCCTAAACAGGATCAAGCATTTACTCCAACAGCCTTCTCTTTCTATTTATTGTCTGGACTTGGAGTTTAGGAATAAAGGCAGGCAAGTTTGCAGGCACTATATGTCTTAAGGACATTTATTTTCCCCTCCCCTCTCTTTTTAAATAATTTTACACTTTTTAGTATCTATTTCAGAGTCCTATTTAAAAACTATTTATTAGTGAATACAGTAATCTGAGTCAGCGAGGTCATTGATATTACAATTCTTCAACGGTTAATGATGATGTGGTTTATACTGTGCCTTAATAGTAATGCTATTTAAGATATTTATTTTTAAGTTTTACTATGCTGCACTCTAAAGCAAGGAACTTTAGATGTGACACTGTAAAATTATGTATTCATCTCATGGCATAAATTATTTAGTAGGTCTAGATGTAGCATATTAAATATTAACCTATTCAACTAAAGATGTTGACTTGGATTTATTTAAATTCATATGTGCACTGTATAAGAGTACTCTTACATTAACACATTTTAGTTGATTTTAGTCGAGATTTTTTTTAAAAAAGCAAGCTACATGGCTAGTTTCATGCTTCCTTCTCTGGTTTTTTTTTTTCTTCCTATAGACCTCATCTACCAGCAGATCATTGCTTCCACACTATCCTTATGTAGTTTATGTAGTCTCAAAATGCTGCTTTACATTTTTCTTCTGAAACTGCAATACTTGCAATTTTTATTCTTAAACTAAATTGAATACTATTTTACACTGTATTGGATTTTTATACTTGAACAATTTCATACAAGGGAAGACAGGTTAGCATTTTTATGGACTTTTCTCCATTATCACTGGATTTAAGTATTCCCATACTAGACAGTGTTATGTAATGTAGACATGACTCTCCTGTGCAAATTATTTATTCATTGTGTATATGGCTTTATAACATTTCAGATCTTCTAATCTATTCACTTGTATTAAATATAATTTTTAAAAACTTCTGTTGCCTTGCTTGTTTCTAATTCCGTCGTCAAGATAAATGGCTATGTGTGCAACTTTTTCAGTGAGCATGAAATTCTCCAGATGCCCTGTTGCTGTACTTTCAAAGTAAACTTTACCAAAGAGCTACCCCTTTTACTTACCAAGTGATGTAAGTACTCCCCGAAGAATGAATTCTAAAGGAAAATGGATTAGCTGTTTAGAAGAAGTGAGTTGTAAGGAGACAGGCCAGTTAGAAGCTGGATCTGCAGCTGGTGCTGGGCTCAGGTAAACTGAGGGTTGGTGATGTGGCTTGACTCTACAAAGTTCTAACAGTGGACGCGGAGCAAGCTGCTTTGGATAAATACCCTTCTTGTGAGGTTGGGTTTTTTTAAATGGATTTCTCACTCATGATACCACTCTCATATGGTCATTTAAATATTAAGCAAAATAAGGTATGTCAACTATCTGCCACAGAGCTAAATAAGGTAGTAAGTATGGAGTAGCCATTATTTTAATGTCCTAGAATGACAGCTAACAAAAGAGGAAGTCACCTATTGGAATGTCTTTGAGTTTATAATTTCTTTACACAGTGACATAATATCTAGTAAGCTATGTGTTTGCATTTCTAGAGAACAGCGGTCATATTGACTGACTGTTATAGTGCATATGTGTGCATGTTCTGGTAACTAGAGAGTAAATTCTTCATTGGCCTCCTGGTCCTCTTCTTTTCTAGACCCATGATCTTCTCTTGCATTAGATTAGTTTTCAGCAATTGTAAACAACAGAAAAGTGTGTTAGCAGATTCCATATCATACTTCTTGATAACTGTCATCCCATTTAAAGTCATCATGATTGCAAACCTCAATTGTTTTTAATTTTGCAAGGATACATAAAATGCCAGCTTATCTCTAGGGAGAGATAGTATTGCACCACCAAGATATTATCTAGGAGCAGGAAAACAAGTTCTAAGCTACTTGTTTCAGTCAGTGCACCAATGACTATTTTATTCCAAAAGACATGTTTTAATTTGTCAACTATATGGAAAGTCACTTTAGTCTTCAACAATCCATCCATTGCTGAACTTGAAATGAAGCAGTATTTGATTTTTGATCAAAAAATAGGAGAGATAGTTCTGGGAAAAGCTTGTCAAAAATAATCATGGTCTCGAGAAAGTCAAAATTTCACCTACCTAGGTTTTACATTTTTGGGGGGAGGAGGTGTATTTCTGAATGTGTTATTATAACAGTATCAGCAGTTATAGAGAATGAGCAAGATTATTGTTTAGTAGGGCACAAACTTAAAAAGGAGAAGAGTTTTAAAATAATCAAGAGAATGATCATGACATGGATTGATCTTTATTGATCTGATAGGCTATTGAGACTTGTAGAGTCCCACAAACTGACACCCTGCCTACAAGAAGACTGTCACCAACTGCAACTCCTCAACATCGGACAAGAACCATGAGCCCAGATAACCTCTTATCTTTATAACTTATTAACCTGGGGGTGAGATTATAGCTCAGTAATAGAGCACTTGCCCAGTATGCCCAAGACCCCAGGTTCCAGCATGACAAAACCAAAACACTTTAACTTACTTTGTGCAATTATGCTCTGAGCAACAGAAAATGAACCAAGATAACAACATTAATTGATAGGGGAACATGTCAGAAATTCTAAAGTATTGAATAAAGGGTAATTATTATTCTGAGATAACACACAGGATAACAATTTGGTAATTGACTTCAATTATGTCATTAGATGACTTTTCTAAACCGGATACATTTTGCATTTCATAATAATTTACATTTGTTCTATCCCAAATTCCTAACAGGTAAACTTGCTGGGCAGTAATAACAGTATGAAAAGCAACATTGAAGGATGGAGAGGTTGCCCAGCCGGAGGAAGAAGAAGTAGACTAGAAGAAAAGATTATGGAATACATTTATCTCGCACAGGCACTATATTTAGTCCTTCCCTCACTCCTGTCAAATACTTTTCTTAATTCCTGCTGAGACTTGAAAGCATTCATTAAGATGACAGCCTGAGGTTTGGAGGGCCAGAGGTGAGGAAGAACAAAAAAAATAAATAAATGCATTTTCATGCTTACTTTTGTCCTGTCCTTTCTTTCAAGGGATCTAGACTGTTTCCATGGAAATCCTAGCTTTGTTTGGCTTAAGCACTTTGTACAGAGAAGATTTCATTTGGGGTATTTGTTCTCAGTTGAATTTTGTTAAGTCCGGTTGTGAGCTTAGCTGAGTTGTTTAAATTTCAAGCTTTAAAAGTTCATTATTTTTTATTACTTTTTAAAGCAGTTGTACAAAGGGATCTCAATTCTACAAATCACTTTATATGTAAAATGAATCTTGGTTAATATCAGCCTTTCCTCATTCTTTCCCATCTCTTCCAACCCTATCCCTTTCCTCCAGTTACGTGGTTCCATTTTCACCTTTGTGCATTGAATATGACTGAATTCCCTTTCTCCATTCGTCTCCTTGACCTCATTCCCCACCCCCAAGACAAAGCATGTTCTGGTCTTCATTTTGACCAATTGTAACTTAGTTATTCAAAGGAGTTACACTATTGGAAACCATTCCTGACTATACCATACTTTAGTCCAGTTCTTTGAATTGTATATGCATATAACCCTGTCTGTGTTTTTGTACATGTTTATAATTTAGATGTAAGTTCTGTATATGAACTGTTTTGATGTAATATTCATATACATATAAAAGGTAGAGTATTATGTCCAGTTGTGTGTATTGTGGTGTAATGACCAATTCAGTGTTATTAGTATATTCATCATCTCAAATAAGTATATCTTTGTAATGAAAATGTTCAAAATCCTCTCTTCTGGCTATTTTGAGGCGTACAGTGCATTATTTTTTAACCAAAGTGGCTCCCTTGTGCAACAGAACATCAGAAGAACATATTCCTCTTGTGTAATCATTAGCTTTGTACCCATTGATCCGTCTCTCCCTCCTATCCTTTCCTGCTCACTATTTTCTCACTTCTACCTTTACTCCTGTCTTTATACCATGCTACCCTTTAATTCTTTAAGATTAAAAGAACCTATTCATCTGTTGATTCTGTATCCTGGCTATAAACACAAAGGGCAGATATCTCGTTAGCAGATACTTTTAGTTTCCTTTGGCATACCCACAGATTGATTGCGAGTCATATGGCAGTTCTAGTTTTAACTTGCCCTTAATGACTGTAGTAACTCACACCCCACCAAAGATGTTTAAGAGTTCCCATTTCTTTCTCTTTTTTTGGGGGGGGGGTCCGGTCGTGGGGCCTGAACTCTGGGCTTG